TATAGAACACTGTACTATATGCAAATTACTTCAGATGTCTGTTTTGATATTCCAGATTTATCCAAAATTTCAAAATGTCATTTCAGAGAGGAAAACATTTGAATCCACAACAGTGTCATAACGTTTTGAACCCGTAGGGATTCGATGGAAACGGATCATTTCAGTTTGAGGAGGAAGCCTGTGATCACACACTGTTGGCACAGATCAGTTATATTTCAGCACCGCGGAGAGCGTCCGTGTGTCACCCTCATAACCATCACGTGATGACCTCACTACTCCTCACAGTCATCACACAGTCAACACTACCAAGTCACGTGGTGGGCATTATTCTTTAGTGAGTTGATTCAGTGAAAACAGAAACAGAGCCTGACTCCTGCGAAGTGCCGCGCTCCTGCGTCCTGACCGCGCTGCGCTCCAGGCTCAGTTTTGTGCCACATCCCATCGACGCTCAGATCCGAGGCTGCTGCCCTGAAGAGAGCAGCCTGTCCGCGGCAGGAAGCGGCTCCACCACAGCGGAAGCGACCGCGTTCAGCCTTTCGGGATCGTTTCCCTCCTGCCTTGAGTAGCCAGGTGTCAGGGGAGCATGCGTTTGACGCGCAGGTGAATTTTTATTTTTGCCAGTTCAACTTCCAGCTGCGCAAACTTTTCAATCCCGCCTGGGTTTGTTTTTTCTTCTCTGGCTTTCTTGTTTGGCTTCAGCTGAGGTTCACGAAGATACAGTGATTGAAAATCTTGAGAAATGTCTCGCAAGAAGGCTGCCAGGGGCAAAGCCGCGTCCAGCAGCCCGTCCACAGGCAGCCCCTCCGGGAGAGGCTCCGGGAAAGCAGCGCGGAGCAGCCCGGCCATTGTTCAGATGAACGGTGTGGTCCATCCCAGCAGACCGTCCATCAGCAACAGCAGCGAGTTTTATGACATCGCCTTCAAGGTAAGACTCAAGCTGCTGCTGCTGCAGCAACACATGAAGTGAGCTTTATTCCAGTGTTTTCACCACAGAGCTGCAGAGGCTGCGAACTGACGCACACAGAGGTCACCAGAAACTAAACAAGGAAATGAAATAATCCCACATAAGAAATCATACAGAGACTTTATTCTTTACCTCTGCAGGGCGAGACATAGGGGACACTTGATTTAATTTCTTCCTCTGTCTTTTAAAACCTGTATTCATGAAACAGCAGTGAGCTGACGCCAGCTGTGTCAATACGATCGATAACCTGGGTACACACACACACACACACACACACACACACACACACACAAACACACCTTTTTACCTTTATCTCAGTGAGGACACTCATTGACATAATACATTCCCTCGCCTCTTACCTACCTAACCTAATTTTAACCCTAAAACCAAGTCTTAAGAATCTCCTCACTCCACTATGCACAAAGATACAACACATACAGAGAGAGATAAAGAGAGATTTGCTCAGCTACACTACAACTTTGCTTCCAGCAACAAAAACCTTATCCATAACCAATTCATGCCAAACCTTAACCAAACCACTACTCACATCTTAGCACTAACGTTAACCAGGACCTCAGAAATGAAGTTCTGCCTCATTAGGACCTGGCTTCGGATCCCATGAGGTCCTCTGGTTCTGACAAAATCAGTGTTTATGCTGGAAAAGATCCTAAAGAGGCAGAAAAACAAGTACACACAAACTCACACGCACAACCCCTCTTATCATCAGCATAATGCATTCCTTAGCCCCTGACGTAAACCTAACTCTAACCCTAAAAGCAAATCTTAACCCTTTAAAAGCCCTTTGAAAAAGTGAGGACCATCCAAAATGTCCCCGTAAGGTCTCTGCTCAAAATAGTCAACACAAAGATATACGTTCAAGTACACACACACACACACACACACACACACACACACACACACACACACACACACACACTCACGGGCCTGCAGTAGCAAGTAAACAGGCTGTTCGCTCACTTTGTGCAACTTGGGGTTGAGTGTGTGTTTGTGTCAGCAGCACAGGTCACTGGGTTTGAATTAACTGTGTGCAATTGTTATCTCGCTATGCCCAACTACGATGTGAGCACTTGTGTGAGAAGAGAACTGTCACCTAATCGCAACACAAACACAGACTCACTCCCACAGACTCTCAGCGTGCACTCCCAGCATAGCTTCAATGGGACTCGTGCCACCTACTCTGTGTTTTTCAAGCAGCTGTTTGGTGCAAGTGCAACCAAAACACTGCTTATGTGCTGAATCGATTGTTCCACCGAGGCCACGTCACTCTGTCAACTGTGGATATTTTCATTTGTCAACATTCTTGCAGCCAGCAAATGAACGATTACAGGGAAAAGTCAAATTCTCTAGTTTCCATTTTGGCACAAAAAATGTCTTTCCTTGAATATTTATCATACATCTGCTTTTCAGTCTGACAAGTGACATGCAGTCCCCTTTGTTGTGCAGATAAGACATTGTCATTTGTTGTTCATTGTGCCATATTTCATTATGTCCTGTTTTCTCTGTAACATCATTAATCTTCACTGAGGAGACTGATTTCATTTGATTTAAAACAACCAAGGGGCAGGGAGAGACCAGGTAGCTCCTCCTGCAGAGCTGCATAACGGAGGGAACAGGGGGACAGGACAAGAGAATGAGAATGGATGCAGAGAAGGAGAAATGAGGAGCAGAATGAAACTGAGGGCTCGAGCCTCAGACGGGTTTCTCTGTTACTATACATCCCTCCGTTCTTCCACCTCTATCTTTCATCTCCTCTCTGCACCCATGGGGAACTTACTTTATGATTTCCAAGGTCAGAGGCCCCCACAGTCCTTCAGCTAACCTGATACTGGTATTTAACTTCGTCACAGCTCAGAATATAAAGAGAAATTCAGACATCCACTGGTGGCCATATTGAGCAGCCACATACTCGCTCACATATAGTTTACCTTCATCTTCACTGGGCAAGAATCCAAATATCAGGACTCAATTTAGTTTGATTCAAATCTTCTGACGACAACATTTTTTACATAACATTGCTGCATCTTCCTGTTTGTTTGTGCGTGTTTTGGTTCCCTGTGAGTTATTTCAGTGTTGTCTGACTCTAACCCTCATCATGCAGTCAGACAGTCTGAAAATTTCTTCCTCACACCTCCGGTCGTACAGATTTGTGTGTTTCTTTGTTTACCCTTCCAGTCATTCCTGTCTGAGCTTTTCCCTCCTGGTTCTTTTCTCAACAGGTGATGCTGGTCGGAGACTCTGGCGTTGGGAAAACCTGTCTACTGGTCCGCTTCAAGGACGGAGCGTTCCTGGCGGGCAGCTTCATCTCCACTGTGGGCATTGACTTCAGGGTGAGTTTAACAAATCCTTAACAATATCTTTTACAAATTAGGCCGTAAGCACAAGGGGGAATTTTTTTTTTGTTCAGTGTCTCATATACTATATTGCCTGGAGCTGTGAGTATTTCTAGTGTTAGAAGTCTCACAAGATATTGATTTCTTAAATTAGTTTGACATGCTTTAGTTTTTTTGGCTCCCTGGGTGATAACAATGTCTCTTATGTGCCAGATTTGTGGTCCCACATGGACGTCCAGGAATAAACCGTGTCCATCTTTTCTAACGATCACATTCAGGTGTTTGTCCGTCTGTCCATCCATGAGATGCAGGGTGGCCACTAAGACCCTGGGTGGCAGAAAGAGACAGTTGCATCCTTCCAGTACTTATCAGTGCTAAAACTGTTATTAGTTCTAATCAGTGACAGGCTTTATCCAGTTTCATCCAATAGCCTTTTTTTCATCCAATATCATTGTGAGTTTAAAATAATCCCTTTACACTCACTGGCTCAGGTACATTCAAACTCTCTCTCTCACACACGCACACACACACACACTTTCACTTTGTCAGATTAGGTGATTATGAAGCGCTCACAACTGACTCCAGAGCACAAGCCTGTAAACAAATATGGCGTCCAAAGCAGTTTGAACGATACTGGCCGGCGTGTGCTTGCAAAAGCCTAAACATCTTTTTTTCTGTGTCACATGTTTGCACTTGTGAGCAGCTTCATCCCTTCTGGCAGAGCACTGTCAACTGTCTTCCTATTGGGTGCGCTGGCTGGTGCCCATGGAAGAGTGAGTCCCCCATTCACGGAGGCTTGAGCCCTCCTGCGTGTCTTTTTGCTGCGTGTCTTCCGCACTCTCCGCAAAATGGTGGACAAAATATCTTTAAAAAACTGTACTCATCTTAGTCGCTCATCACAGAGGAGACATAACCTATTGTCAAAGGTTAAATGAATCCAACATGCCAGTCTGCTCCACCTATCATGATAATTTAGTTTCAGAAACTTTTTAAAATTAAAAAGTTATCACCATTATATAAAGTGAAGGTGCAACATTAGACCCGTTAAACACCTGTGAGGCATTTTCACATGGGCTGCCTCTGTGTGTGTGTGTTTAACTAAATTACCCAACCATTCTAAAGCCCTGTGTGTGGGTTTGGATGAGTTTGTGGGCGGATGAGCGGTTGATTTATCTACTTATGTAACATCTCTTACAACACAGTACAGTGTCTGTAGCCCCAATGTACATTTAGGCCTATCTATCCGCAGCAGAGACCTTCATCAGCTATTTTTTTTTCGCTGCATTTACCACACGGGGAGGAAAAAGTGCAAAACTCATAAAGTTTAGTGCTCAGTCGGCTCTTTCCTCATATTGACTTATTTAATCGCAGTGTGGCACCAAGCTTTGTGACATGAATAATTTCATTATCCTCCTCAAGGCTCCCATTCTCTTCTGCATGGTTTCTTGTTAAAGGGCTCAGTTTCTCAGCACAATTGAAACATCATCCTGTAGGTTATGAATGATACCTTTTCAGTTATCAACAGAGTCAACTAAATTATCATGAGCACTTTTAGAGAAAACCCGTATTCATACATTTCAAGTTACCGTTTATGCAACTGCACAACTTGTACAAACAATTTACTTGTTTGAGAAATGTAGAATGCGAACTTTGTTGAGAAGGAAAACATGAAGGTCCTCAGTGTTTGTCTTCCCACGGTGGATGCACCGAGACACAGAGAGGCAGGGAGTGATTGTTATTTTTAGGAAAGACAGTTTTGATCCTCATTATTTGCTGGGAAAGAAAAAAGCAATTTGCTCCGTATGGGGATTTGATCCGGTTTCCACTTCAAAGCTACAGTGCGATGCAGTGTTTTCCTCCCCATCTTGTTTATTGTGATCTCGTCTCATTTAAACCTCAGCATGTTCTCAGGATTACAAAGCTGCATTGGTACCTTGTTAAGCTTAAAATCCAGGCAGTCAGAATAGGAAATACAAGTAACATCGGATTTTATTAGAGAATCTCCCTATGAAGGGCAATAAATTCAAAGACAGAGAGAGAATACTGTGTCTAATCATATTAACTCCATGTAGATCTTTCCTTGTTATATCATACTCTGACAGATAATTGCTGCCAAACATTCATAGGAAACTGACCGCCATCTTTTTGAGATGAAAATCTTCTCCGAGAGAGAAATGAGAACTAGAGACGAGCACAAAACTACAATACGCAAAACAGAGACAGCTCAATTTTATGATGTGAGCAACTAAGAAACAAGAAATGAAAAAAAAAAATAGGAAATGATAAAACTTTGGAGTCTCCAAGGTAAAAAGAAGACTCTTAGTCTATGCAATTCATACATAGCTCCCTCAGAAAGCTTTATACAACTCCCCGAGAGCTGTGAACAGACCTTCATGTGTAAAATCAGTTTTTCTTCTACTGTCTTTATTCACCAGCACAAGTTGTCTCATTTTATTAAGAAAATACTTTATTTGGATTAAAAATCAGTAGAACATTTGGAGGAGAAGATCAGATAATACAGTCCCCACGCCAACTGTGATGCAGCTTGTCCAGGTCACCTGTTGCCATGGTAATACAGGTCCTAACTGACGGGCAGATGGACAAGGCTGACCGGAGAGCAGAGCTTTGTGTTTGATTGTGTGGCCCCTGACGTCGGTAGCTTGAAGGAGTAGCCGTGCTGCTTCAGTCAGGAGGTTACAGGCAGCATGGGAAAGGCATCAGTCAGGAGAAAATGACCCCTGTCGCTCAGGCACCATTTTTTTTCTTGCTGTGTCTTAATATGTGTCTTTTAGCTCACGGAAGTACAGATTTACAACATGCATGGACACAAACACGAGATGATAGGACAAAGACAATTTCTTCTCTGCCTTTCTCTTTAAACACAGCTTACATCACTTGTGCTTCTTCCATCTCCCTGAGATACAATGAGGATCAGACTTTATCAGTGGAGGACAACTGTAGTCTCTGTCATGGAATGAAAAAGACCTACGGACAAAAGACTCCAACAACCCTGTCTTTTGTATCAAGGCCTGGCTCTCCAAGGCTTAATTTCATATCTCCACAGACAGCAGAAGAGAAAACGCACATTCAATAATTGCTGTATTGAATTTAGTTTTTAATTAAACATCAGACACATTAAAGCCGTTAAACTATGTGAAGCAATGTCAGTTTAAATTCAGATTTAGAAAGCCCTTAATCAAGACGACTCCACAGATGCAAATGGTTAACATATTCAAACTTTGTTGATATCAGACAATAGTTGCTTTACATTCATTAATTTTCTCATTAGTCAGAGACAAAGATGGAACTGTAAGGCCGTTCTTTGGTGGGTCTGGGATAATTATTAAGATGCATGGTGTTATTCAGCCTTTTCCCTCTGTCAACAAATCTCATGAAAGGACCAAAACAATGCATTAGTCATTCTCACAATACAGTCGAGCTCCCCCGCCTTGTCTGTGGCAGCCACTGATTCAGACTGAAGATATACTGCAAATCTTGAAATGAAAACGGGTCACAGATGTATTAGTTTCATTCTTCTTAAGGCTTTAAGAAGTTTTTAAAAACGACTTGGCACTGCATTTTCTTATCAAACATTACTCAAACTGAAGTACTGTATATATTGCTATAGTTTCACCTGTGGACGAAAACACATTTGGTGCTCTAGTGAGTATTTGAAGCAGTGTGAGTGGTATTGACACAAAAGACACTATTGAATTTAATGAAGGAATATGTAACCTCGTGTGGAACATTCATGTACCTCATTAATTGAGCTCTATGGATCAGAGGAATATCTATAATCTGCAGGGGTTAGTATATTTTTTCACGAAATATATATTCATATATTCTTTGTTTGTACACGCACAAGGTTTTATTCCCGAGGAGTTTATGTTTTCTTTTGCATTATTTTTCTGTTAGTTAGCAGGATTACGTCAAAACTACTGTAGGGATTACAAAGGAACTTGTAGAAAGGATGCAATATGGGTTGGATCTGTTTTTTTCGGACGTCAGATCAGGTCAATGTTTTTATGGGAAGTGGGAAGATGAGTTGTTGTCCTTGGGTCTTTAATTCACTGGCTTTTGTTAAAAAATAAATAAATAAATAAAAATGCCAAGTCCAAATCCTTCTCAGAGCTGTGGTAGTCTGTGGTGGGAGCTGTCCCTGGTGCTGAACCCCCTCCTCCAGACTGGGGTTCCACCACCTGCATGTACGGTGTATGAGGCCATTCTACCAATCTGTTACCAGTTTCTTTTAGTAACTGTCATGTCAGCCACTTTGTCTCAGTTACACACTCATAGTCCAATATCAATTTCCCATACTGTAATTGTTTACATCCATCATATTTAAAACTTGTTTCATTTTTCTGTCACTTTCCTTCACAGTGCAGCATTGGATACATTCTCTCTAGAAAATAATACATGTAATGTTGGTTGTTTATTCTTTTAAATATTGTAGCCTGAAGGCAAACATTTATTCACACATTTAATCCCTTTTAAATCCCACAAACCAGCAGGGAAGTTGGTAGATTTATCTCTCGCTGTAAACTCGATGAGTCTCCAATTTAACTTACTGAAATACAATGTTTTCAGCTTAAGGGAAGATTCAGTCTCCATGAACAGGGTCAAAATGTCTTTGTTTGGAAGCGAGGCTTGAAAAGCAATTTCTTTGGGAGACAAATGTAGGATCATTAAGAGTGAGAGAGAGAAAGGGGGGAATAGCGGAGGAACTAATTCCAAGGCGAAGCAGAGAGGCCTATTAACTATATAAGTTCGACAACCTTCCCCTCATTTTTGATGTTGTGGAAAAAAACGACCTTTCCTCATGTTTTCCTCCTCACTATCTGACACCAGAGAGACAGTAATCCTTCAGCAGATGTAGATTCACTGTGAGGGGACGAGCTGCACTCACATCCACTGAGACAAGGGCACCCAGCTGTCAGTCATGTGTGTGAGTGATAGACTTCTTATGCATCCACAAGTTTCATCCATCACAACACCTT